GAACACTTAGTTAACACTGATCATTCCATCTTGACAAACGCCTCCTTCAAAGTGATTCCATATTACTTTGTTTATTAGATATATCATATAGAGAAACAGTATTATTTACTGGATGACGTTTGTTCATAATCATATCAATTGTAATCACACGACTTTGAGACTTGAGTTTTATAGTTTTCCCCTTGAAAGCAATCTACAGAGTCAAGAATAACCTACCAAAGGCAATACAGTTTCGTATTCTTTGTATCGCTGAAGATCTGGCCATTCACACAGAAAAACCGGAGCTGTGCATACAAAAGAGAACTACTCAATCGCTTCTACTATCATGGTAACAACTTTGTTGATTTTTGATGGCTTAATTTTGTCTGTTTCTTGTATTCTTCATAATTCTTGTATTCATTTAGAACTCCTACGTAATTTCGTATTCTCCACTTTGTTTCTACGTGCATCCTGAGTACAACTCAATCACCAAACTATCCTTATTATCACCTAACTCCTTTCTAACAACTGTTTGTGACAACTCATCACCTTTGTTACTACACTAGTTTCACTAACACTCAATTTTCTTGACCGTTTTTGTATTACGTACCTCCACCCAAAACTTGCTAACTCTCACCTGTTTAGTTAAAATAACCATAACCAAATGTGTTTTTGTTTGACAATACTAATGTATACACACACGGGCACAAAATAACCCATATATAAATGCGATTGTACAGCTAAGAAAATGAATTCGCCGAAAAGAGACTCTTCGCAGAACTTTCTGTCATTACAATTCTAATAAGCAGCTGAAAGTGTTTATCTTCTAAATGGTAAGGAAAAGGAAACTGCAAATAATTTGAACAGCACCTCGGTTTACAGCAGCATGTAAACGCTAGTATCCATAGCCAACATTAGATATTTTACATAGTTACTGGCGTTCATCAACAGACTTGAAGTAGTTTCCTGTTACTTCACCGGTGAAAATTTCATGGGAATAATCCAGTCACTAAGATAGAGATCATGTGCTTGGTCACTAAATTTGCTATGCCTTTGACGGACTATGAAGGTTACGTTGACTGCTCAACAGAATCTGCTTCTAACAAACAAAATCAATTGGAAGTGATTGAAAATTGATTCCAGATTTCCGAATCTACATGAAACACTTACGACATCGTATATAACTTATCTAGAGTGGACCTTTTCCAATTCTAACAGGCAGTAGAAAAAGTTGGTTAGTTTTTTTAGATAATCAACGTACATAGGATATGGAGCTTCACTGATACGACTGAAATAAGTTGACTGACGTTTATTGTTAACTTCTGTGTGTTTTCTCGCACCTGAATGGTTTAAATTAAAAGCTTTCATTGTCCTTCAGAGTAAACTCTGAAGATGTTGTCAATGATGATGTCAATGAAAGGTTCGCTTTCAAGCCAACCAGCTTAAGGAACAAAACGACACTAAAATCATCCATCTGACCTACACACCTTTCCCACTATTTGAAAATGTTTGGCCTATCTATTTTTCCAATCAATTCATAACTTTATTCAGAATATAGGAATTAATTTCAACTATGAGTATTTTATTCAGTGCAATTAGGATTCACTTTTGTACCTGATAGATTATACATTGGTGTAGTGGTCTCCTGTACTGAGAATAAGAAACGAGGAATCCTTTGTTAGAGTATATTAAGTGATATATACTGCTGTTAAACGCACTTTGCAATTATTTATTTTCACTCAAACCATTTTGTCATACTGTATTAAGGACAACATAGTGAGACAAGCTAAATACCATTATTCCTCTCGTCAAATTCAATCCACTAGCTCAATATGAATACAGACTTTTGTAGATTCCTGGAGCTAATTTCACATCAACAGGCAGTCAGGGACTACATTAACTATGTGTATTCACTGGTGAGACCTTCACATAGATTTAGGTTATCTAATTAATTCTATTTCAGTTGTGTTTATAATTGCGATTATAGATGTACTGTTAATGTTCAAAAGTATATCAGAAGGAAACACATTTAGTAAACCGTGAAATGAATCTCCAAGTGCAGTCAATAAATTCCGTTTTCATATTCATAGTTAAATGTAACTAAACACCCAACATGCCTTAACTACATTAACGATGCACAGTTTTAAGGTGGTTGGCACTTTCAAGCATGCGTCCGAAGCAGGATTTTAAGCCTCTATCGCTAACAAAGTGTGTGATCTGAAAGGACATGAAAGCGACTAATGGATAAGTATTGACTCTGTATTTGGATGGATTCAACTACAGAGGCAGACAGGAAAACTATCATATGACTCTCAGGATCATATACGTACATTTGCAAAGCCTAATGCATACCATGAAAGTTTATTTGATCAACACGTCTAAATGGAACACAGAGAAAGTTTTATCTGTTTTGTGTTTGACACGAACATTCCTACCTATTCCTTAAATAAATTCTGAGTTCTCATGTGCAAAATCAGTTCATTTGGCCAAACATGAGTCAGGAAGTGAGACAATGACGGTAAAGTGATATAATTAGATGGAGAAGGAAAGACTTTATTCAAGAGTCAGCACCAAATAAATTCGACGGAGACGATATGACACTTGTCCTAGAAATCTGAAGATATCTTAGGAATGACATTTATTACTCTTCCTGCATACACAGATGACAATAACTACATTAGTTAAAGAAATTATTGTCTTTGACTTCACTGCAGTTAATCCCACTAGTGTTCTTGGCGGAACAACAAAATTACCAAAACAAACCTTCACTAAATCATTGTTTGCCAACACCAATTATTACAAAGACTTGGATACTGTTAAGTTCCACCTCTTACTCACTCTACAAATATTTTCGTCTCGATATGTTTCTTTCATTTACGCTGCATATTTTCGTGTTGTGTTTGAGCATTGTTATTCTAATATCAGGTAGTATGTTAATTATTTCTGCTTTGTCATGATATATACTCAAGCATAGACATTATATCTTATGTAAGCTACCCAGATTTAGGCTGCTACAGTACATATAGGATATTGCAGGTACCGGCTCATTTAACAATGAACCCAGACACTACATATCTGTCTACTTGTATAACTGTTTGACTGAATTTATTTCTGCCTCTTTCGAATTGGGTGTCGATTAGAGCTGACTGTCCTGAATTCTACTTGACACGACGTCGTCAACTATCCGGAAAAAGCTGATTCCTCCTTGTTTCAGACACAGGATTAAATCCATAGTCATTAGTGTAAGGGAATAAAAATTTCAGAGTTAGTTTAACATTGATTTACCTAAACACCAACAACGATTTTCACACACAGAACTGAGTTCACAATCAAAATACACTACACTATCTAATATTTCTGCTCAATGAGATTGAGTGGTGATCACTTACTGATAACAGCGCGAAGAGCACATGTATATTTACACGAAGTTCAGTAGAAGTGTATGAATAGAACTCACTTATTCAATCGATCAGATGGTGAAAACACATGACATGGTCAACATGAAAATCGATCCGAGGAGATTTAAAATTGACTCCAGATTCCCCAATCTATTCGAAACACTTGCAACTCTTCGTGCAGTCGTCTTCTCTCAGCTGGATTAATTAGTTGCGAAACTCCCACTATCTTTTCAGACAACATCTCCACAGCATACTGCAATTCAAAGAGGTCTACAGATCTAGTGACATCTTCGCAACTAAATCAATATCATTCACCTGAGCTATGAATCTTCTCCATCAAGCTTACAACATCCTGCACAACTACTTGTTCTCCTCAAAGAAGTAGTCTCAACACTTCGTGCAGCCTTACCAACATTTTAATCCTAAGAATATTGATCTTACATAACACGTATAAGCAATGTCTAGAGACTACATTGGATATTTCCCCAAGCCATTTGAGCACAACCTAGCAAAGTAATGATCACAAGCCGAAGATGCACCTTTGCATCAGTCTTCATCGCATATCAACTAGCCTACGAATGCGTAGAGCCAAACACAATCAAAATGAATCGCATACCTTAAGTCATTTCAGAACGAACTACCAGATGGTGTCAAAGACTGACACATTCTCAGTTAACCTTCCATCTTTTCTTATCAATGCCTCACTCTGTTGTCCATAAAAGCAATTAACCTCTGGATCTATCTCATAGTCTGTTGTCCGACTTTTCCAACCTATTCGCTATCAAAACGCGTACAACAGAAAAAATTAGTGTACACAATTCGTATAAATAACGGTATTTCTAACTTATTTCACGTAATACCATCAACTTCGGTTGGACAAGATGCATAATAAACATATCATCAAATCCGTCTTCTCGCAAAACTATTATGCAATTCCTGTATAGGACTTCACTAAACTTCGCTTGTAGGTATTTTCACCAATAATTTACTACAAAAGTAATAAACCAATGATATCTACCGATACAAATTAATTTCTTACAGTCTAGTCCCGTGATAATTTTTCACAAGGCTAGTCAGACCAAATTAGCTGTGTCAAGCGATTCCACTTTATTTTACAGGTCCTGAGAAACCTCTGAGTGTTTGAAACTACAATGATTATAAAAGCATCAAAGTTACAACTGAAGTGTTTACACGACAACACGAAATATACTGCAAATTATACTAACGCGATACCAAGTGATCATTCCATCGTTTGGAGTAAAACTGTAAATCTGTGAGACGGTGACAGCAACAAGAAAAAAGCGGTGGACTACTTAATTTAGTTGTCAAACAGATCAGTAAATTTTACACTCACTTCAGAAGAAAACTAATTACACTTACAACAGACTGAAACTTAAATATCTCATGTATTTCACTCCCAACGCCTAGAACGCATCACAATCATAGGTGAAGCAATAACACTCTATCTTTAGCTCACAAAACAGAAATGATATCTAGAAATTTTAATCGGTATTTGAAAATGTTATAGTTCAAAAATAATCATCACTCTTTTAAAATATGTAAGAAAATCAAAATAAGTCAAATTGTTATTTACATAATTGAAGGAGGTTTACTTCAATCAGACTACGTGTTGGGATTTCTGGACTGGTGAGAAACATGCTGTAAAGCTGCTGGAAGAATTTCACGTAACTCCTCACGGCAGATAGTTCTGATCATTGTGGTTAAATCAGGTGAATCACTTCTTGAACTCATATGTGAGTCTCTTCCCATATTATGAAGTAGCATTAACATTTCCGTCAGGCACAAACGACGTAGGAGACGGATGATCTCTTCATCACCATTACGCAGTGTGGATTCGCGGTGGGTATTAAGAGTTTCGTTGGCAGTTGAATTGTTGCTCACAGAAATTTGTGTTGCTGATGGCCACTTAATGTGAATCTTTGACAAATCTTCTGCTATGTCAGAAGTAATGCTCAATGACTGACTGATATTCAATTGACCACTGGATTTTGACTTCAGCGCCATTTGCTTTTTATGCATTTTACCATTTTCATGTTCTTCTTTGTTTTTAATCGACGCAAGTGTTACTTGACAGATATCACAGAATACGGATGACTGGGTTCTCAAGGCAGGTGAATCTTTATTTCTTTTAATTGATCCAGGAGACAAATCTATTTCACACTGGTGTTCTGGCGAAGTGGACTTCATTTCGAAATCCTCTTTTGCCTGAAAATTCTCGTCGCAAAGACCACTAAAAACACCGTCAACACGAGAGCTACTATCTGATGTACATGCGAATTGTGATTCATCGTTTGAATTTGTACTACCGGGCAACAAGTTCTGAACCTCAGTGGCACTTTTTGAATCACTACAATCCATAGTTAGGTGAAGCCAAAACTCATCGTCAGTGTTAAAAGACACACGACACTTGGAGCACATCCGGGATTCTCTGACATCCATCATTTCATGAGATACTAGAGTGAAAAATGAAATGACATGAAATTAGTGCATGAAAAGCATACATATTGCACAGTGAAAAACACATAACAATGTTGAGATCGTGCTTGGGACTATGTCTAGATGAGAAAAGTAAATCAACTTGACCTTTATGATGGACATAAACGAAACAATATAAATGACTTACAGTGATTGCAAATTCCACAGAAGTGTCACTACTTATAACTGTGACGCTCTTTATAACCGAAAACACTGGATTTCTCTGTAATACAGGACTATATTAAACATGAAATAGTATTTAAGAACCTCAAATTATGTGGTGGCTGTGGCTCAATGCCGCCACTAAGCAAAGTCAATGTTCGTCAGTAGAACAAACACAAAACTCTAGACGGACACCCACCTTAAATTCAAACAGCGCGCGAATGCCTGGCACAGAACAATGGGATGTGAAGAAACAATAGTCCAATATCCGATAACCAATATCCTTTCTACGAGCCAGTATAAACGGATTTGATTTCTTTGTGCTCGCTTATTCATTGTGAGGTAAAGGTTACTGGTCTTTGGTAAACTTCGTCCCGTCACTCCACAGTCGTGGCTTTGGTTGACTCCAAAAGGAGTAGTAATAATAATAATAATCACTTTATTCCACAACAATAACAATTTACAGCATGGAATTTTCAGCGTTTCATTTTACATATTGCATTGGTTTAGCTCTTTTTATAATTATATAAATGTATGAAATGTTAAAAATATTGATAATTAATAGGAAAAAATAAAAACCCCAACAAAATCACACCATTTCTAGGTCATAGTGAAATAATAAATAAATAATATAACAAATCACACATGCAATAATATGCATCATTTCATTTTATAGTTTATTTAATGATTTAAAAGTTGTAAAAGTTCATTTCTGATATTCGTCTCTTTACACAATACACGTGCCAAATATGGTACGGTCGAATTTTTATATTTTGTAGTACGAGCATAAATGTTTATGAAATTTCTTCTGGTCTTACCCGAAGAGATACAAGGAAACAAATGTGAATAAAGAGGATGTTCACTATCAGACAAAATAACTTTAGCTAAGTGTTTACAAGAATTCATGTGCCTATTGACAACATTGTCGGATAGTTGAGTCGAAGGGATAGCACTGACCCTACTTACAGCCTTCAATAGTCTTCGTAGTATTATATAGTCTTTCTTGAGTAGTGCTGGGATTAATTATATGTTGTTTGTAGTATGCGGTGTGTTAAGACTTTGTTACTACCGTGAGTGGAGTTGATTCCTACATCATTCGGTCCTCCAGTATCGTTGTCAAAAGCAAAGAGATAATAATAATCACAGCTATAATCAGTGTAGGTTATTCAGACCAAAAGACAGAAAAAGAAATAAAGAAAACGTAAAATCAGCCAAACAACTAAATTTGAAGTTGAAATATATATATGTATACATATATAAATATATATGTGTATAATGTCAGTAATAGTAATAAGTGTTTGTGCAGTAGTTGCAGTTGTCAGTAGAGTAAGACAGGAGGGAATGTGAAGAAGTAAAACGACGAATTCAGTTGTCTACCCCCGAATGGTATATGGGTTTTTGAGTGTATAGGCTATTTCGACACTATTGATGTATCGCTGCATGATTGTTCAGCCTTCGCTTAAAGATGTACACAGACGGTTCCATAGCTACATCTGCAGGTTAGAAGTTCCAGGGACGACAAACCCGCAGTGAAAAGAAGTGGGAGCGCACCCGGGTCCTTGCCCTCTGGTGAGCTATCCTTCTGGGGTTTTCGCGAGGGAGCCTTTACCTACTCAATGGCAGAACACCATTGTTTGAGTGATTCTGGTCATTTGCGGCCGTGTAGATAGCAATCAAATCCTCCTTAGGCCGACGGTTGTTGAGTGTGAATAGGCCTAATTTCTTTAGCCTTTCATCAGACGTTTTATTTCAGAGACAAACCACTCCTTGTGTCGCCCGTCTTTCGACTCTTTCCAAGAGGCTGGTGTCTCTTCTAAGCAGTAGGGGTGCAACGATATTATGCACTTCGAGCTGTGGTCTGACGTATGTTTTGTGTATAGAGGATAGCGGTACAAATGGCTTACGGAGAGGCTGAGCACTTGGAGGTCACTTTCGCCCACTGTGATCGGTAGATTTTCTTTTGCGTAAACGTTGCGGCTAATATGTGTTGTACGTTACTGAGGTGGGCTTTGAAGTAGCAATAATAAAATCTGATAGACAACCTATTTTTTAGCTTAATGGAGCAAGTTAACATGTGTGTAAACTTCACAGATGTGCTAAGCATTGAATCCACTTACAAGAAGAATATTAATGGGTAACTTAATCAAAGAAGTATAAAGTTTGAAGATTTGATCCCTTTCAGTGGGTTGTAACGGATGGATGAGAGTCACGTGTACAATATTTGCTCTTTACGGAAGAGAAAGTGTGACAGGTAATTCGGAAGTTACACAATTCTTCAAATCTATCGTGGAATACATGGACTCCCTGTTCCTTCCGTTGTTCACATATTCAATGCGGCTGAGATGAGGAACTCATGATATGTTTTGACACTCCTTTGTCACAATGGCAGTGTAACCATCATTTACAAAATAAAATGCTGGATCAGTTTTAGAAGCGACAACACTGCAGGCCCGTTATTCTTCTCTTTTTCTAGATGTCGCTTTCGGGTTCTTACGATGTCTTGAGAGTTTCTTTTTCGTTTTGCTGTGTTTCACGCACTGGCTTCCAATGGATACAGGTGTAGTATCATGTCCACCTGGTATTGTTTGTGCTGTTCCGGTGCAAGACTGTGGCAGTGTAGGCGTGGTAACAGAACAGGCGAGTTGTACACGGGTCTTTAGAATCGGTATGCGGGATGGGGTAAATGTCCTGGGTTATTGCCTCCTCTGGCTGAAGCCCTTGTGACTACAGAATATGGTGTTTTGGTGCGTTTTTCCAGCCTACTTTCAACAGCCATATCAAGAATCACTATAATTTATGCTATATAAGAATGAGAGAGCAACAGTATCTACCCAAAGGAACAAGAATAAGACTGTTAAATTACAAGACAGGTAAAAGGAAAGGTTCTTGACTTTAACTAGTACTTTCTGGTTAGTCGGCTTCACAGCAATCACGTGATAGACCAACAAGTCTCGCTTATCTGAACGTGTGGGGAAGAGGCTGCCTCAGAAGTAGCACTTGAAGCTTTGCCAGAAGTTCAAGACAGCTGGACTTACCACACAGAGATTTGATATAAATATATAGTTAACGGTTGAATTTAACTCACCGGCTAAGAAGATCAGGTTTCACAAGCAGATAATTCACGAAATGGGAATTTTCTGGTTAGAGAGGTAAAAGCACGTCGTACTGAAGGAGCGCGCCTTGACACCAATGGGTACATGAATAAAGCATATGCCGAAAGTGATATTCGACTGTAAGCAAGTAATTGTTATTCATTTAACAGATTAGTAATACATTGATTGAGCCAAAGTTCAATAGTGAATAAAGAAATGGTAAAGAATTAACAAATACAACTTACATAGATTACTACAGATTATAATTAATATATATTTATTCCTGTTTATGCAGGAACATACCAGTTGTACAGGCATGGATAAGTTATTATATAAATTACACATAATTCAGTGTATGGTGAACTTACAGTTTGTTTGTTCTTTTTGAACATTAGAGACAGTCGGAACAGTCAGCTAAATAGTCTGTCTGTGTAACCGCTTTCAAGACATAGAAAAAACGACAGGCAGGATACAGGAAAGGAACTGATACATATATTAAAAATCCAGCTAGTAGAATTTGCGAATTCCCTGGAATAATTTCAGCGTCGAGTCAGATTGAATCATTATGAAATCACTTAAAATAATCCCAGTGTGTTGAGATAACCAAGACAAGATTTTATGAACGTTTCGCTGTGTAAGCCACAGCTTGGTCAGAGGAATTGCCCACACATTACTTGCTGCCTGAAAAACACGTAATCTCACGTGAAAATCATGATAATTGTCCAGAAATCAGAAGCAGTAAGATATTACTTTTCTTCGGTTTCGCTTAATCGGAGTTCGCCAGACAGTTGATCAGTCTATTCGTTTCCTCTATTTATTGCATTCGATGTGGTTAAATTATGCAGGGTTTCAGACGTCAGCCTTTCTCAATGTGAATTGAAGCCTTATCCGAGTATTTCGATATTATCAGAATCGATCTTATGACCACTTCTAAAGCATGCATTTCTATAGCTGGTCTTTCGTCCAGACTCTTCAATTCGACTTCCTTCCTACATAGACGCTTTGTGCACAGTCTGTGTTCATCCACTCTGACCTTTGTCTTTCTATTTCTTTCCTCTATATAGCAAGCTTCACATTCCAAACAGGTTACCCTATAGGCACAGGAGTTTTGTGTCATTGTAGCAAATGGATTTTTGACACTAACCACAGCCTCGTCTAAAGAATTAAAAGGATTTAAATAGACTAAAACATTATGTGAAGCAAGTATCGTTTGAGGTTGTTCAGTCATGTCTTTTTGATGTGGAATGGCTGTCGTCAACACCCGAGATTTCTCAATCATATCTTCTGCCCCCATTTCTGTTAAAAATTCATAAAGCAAATATTAAATAATAACAAAACATGGGAGACACAATTCAAACACCTGTAGTTAAAGATAACCACCCAATCCATGTATCATGCTTTTACCGATCACCTTTCGCAGCCATGAAGGGACTGAACGAAATGGTGTGCTGAACACCTATCCTTTGATCGATAGTCACATACCACATCTACGCCAGAGGTGAAGTTATCAGACGCATCACAAGAATTTTGTATCCATGATGAGGTTTCATCAGCAGTCGGTCCATTGGGGTTGGTGCAACTTCGCAAATAAGTGAAGCGGTCAACCCACTCATTCACTATCATTAATCT